TCTTTTCGCCGTTGTCCGGAGGGATAATTAAAAAGGGTTTGTGACAAATTGCTACTACGTGTAGTGTAAAATTATCTGACTGTGTTTTGTCTTCACATTATCTGTTTTCACTTTCATTTCTTTGTTCGAACCCAAACGATGGACAAAACGGGTTTAATGTAAAGAAGAACATTTCAACAAAATCAGCACATGAAATCAAATCTCTTTCACTCAACCTTCAAAGACCAAAAAAAAACGCAACACACAGAGTGTGCGTGGGTTCAGTTTCTGAGACCTGAGGGCTTATAAGCTTTAGAGACGGCGAGCTCCATGGATTTGTTCTTGGGAGCTTCGAGCAACTTGGCTTTCTTTTTGGCCAGAGGAAACTCCATGGAGTACGACTTCTGGCCACTGTCCCCTACGTCCGCCCTGCTCTCCTTGAACATTTTGATGCTCAAAGCGTTCAGCAATGCTCTCGAGTACTGCCTCGACGCCATCTTCCAATCCGTTCCCGTTTTCATCATCGCCTTGAACTCCTCGAAGCTTATCCGCCCGTCCTGCCAAACCCACCCGACAAAATTCACTGTAAATGTACACGCCCGAAGAGATGTAGTATGTGTCTGACGTATCATATCTCTTCCTTAGATATCCATTGATTCTCTATAAATAGAGAATAATCCAAAAGTATTTGAGCTATGGTATTGTTAATTCGGTTCTTGTAATCGAATGTCTCACCATTGACGAAAATCGAAGTATATATACGTGATTCTAAGTGAGTATGTTACGAATTCTGTAATTTTCTTGGACTGACCTTGTTGAGGTCGACATCGAAAAAGATATCTTTGACCCACTGGTCATTAGTGTGGCCAAGCTTGACGTCGAAGAGAGCTTCCTTGAGCTCGTCGAGCTCGATGAATCCGTTGTTGTTCTGATCAAAGTATCTGAAAGCTTGGCGCAAGTGGTCGTCCCCTCCGATTCTCTTCATATGAATCGACACCGTTACGAATTCCTCGCAACTCAGCATTCCATCCCCATCCGTATCCGCCTAAATATCATACTCGGTGTCACACAGTTTCACGGTCTCATCGATTTAATCTAAAACAATATACCAGAAACCTTGTCCGAAGAACTCACCGCGTCCATTAGCATCTTCACATCGCTGTCCGGAACGCCTTCTCCTACCTTCCTTAGCCCATCTCTTAATTCCTCAAACGTCAAGTTTCCGTTCTTGTCGGTATCCATCATCTGAAACATCTTCACTATCCCTTCTATCTCCTCATTTGGTAAATTGTCCGCTACGATCTAAAAATACCGAGTCTGAATCAAATGCATATCCACACACACATATACACATTATATATATGCACACACATGCATACCCTCAGGACTTTCTTCTTGAACTTGTTCATCAACATGAACTGCTGTATTTTTGTCCTGACGTTATCTCCAAGATTCACATTCGGTGCCTTTTGCGCGTTCCGGATCCAAGGATGCTCTGTTAAAGACATCGAGAGAGAGTGTCGTCAGACAAAGTTCTTAATCGTTATCTCGGAAACGAATTCGGGTATGCGTAGTACCGAGAACTTCCCGGACGGTAAGTCGGCTATAAGGATTTGGATCAAGCATGTTTCGAACAAGTTCCTTCGCTTCTTCGGACACCTTGCTCCACGGATCCCTCTCGAAATCTATGCTCCCTTTGACGATCGCTTGAGCAATTCCTTCCTCGGTTTCTATGTTTCGTCGAAGAGTTTAACTGGTTGCGCTCCCAGATATTCGGGTGTACAAGAAATCGAAAGGAAAATTCGAGAGATTGATTACCTGCCCAGAAGGGAGGGACACCACAAAGCAAGATGTAGAGTATAACACCTGCGCTCCATACATCGATCTCGGGGCCATAGTTACGTCTCAAGACCTCGGGAGCCATGTAATAAGGGCTTCCCACAATCTCCCCGAAAACTTGGCCTGAAAGAACTCGAGTTTGTTTTGAATGAGTTTAAAGAATTAACTGATCAAGAACATGTTATTCATGAGGATGTATGCAGAGAGCGAGTGATGCTTATACCGGGTTTGAAGAAAATCGAGAGTCCGAAATCAATTGCCTTCAGTTGTGCGGATTCGGATCCGTTAGCGAAGAGGAAATTCTCGGGCTTTAGGTCACGATGAATCACTCCGTGTTCATGGCAAACCTACACAGCAACACACATAAACTTACTCGCAAGAGGAGGAAAGGCGTCGAACCATCGGGAAAAAAGCGAAAACCGTCACCTTAACGATTTCGAGAATGGTTCTGGCGACAGAAGCAGCTGCGCGTTCAGTGTAATGCCCTCGAGAAACGATGCGATCGAAAAGCTCTCCGCCTTCACAGAGCTCCATGACAAGATAAACAGCATCTCTATCCTCGAAAGCTTCTTTGAAGCTAACAATGTTTGGATGCTTCGGCAAATGCATCATGATCTCGACTTCTCTCCTTACGTCCTCGACGTCAATCTCCGTCCTCAGCTTCTCCTTCGATATCCTTTTACACGCATACCTTCAGCATAAAGAAAATAAAAACTTTCTTTAACTCATCCAAACAAATAATCGAACTATATATTTTTTCGTGATCGAAAAACAAAAAAAAATGGGAGGAAGAACCTCTCTCGAGTTTCGAGCTCGATGCATTCATGAGTGACCCCGAATTCACCGCGACCAAGCTCTCTCCCGATCTCGTACTTGAGGAGAATGTCATCTGCGACGGGATCGGGGAGGACACGGTTTGGTGGCCGGAAAATCGATTTTCGGGAGAGATTCGTGGGGGAATCGTAACGAGGTACGGTGGATGTATTGCTTCCATAACTCTTCCTCCTTATCGGTCGCTTCCTGAAAGGAGAAGCCTTCAAAGGCGACGAAACACAACTTCCCATGGGATCGAATTCGATGCTTTTTTCCCTTCTCCTAGTGTTGTAGCCTCCAACAATTTCTCGACTATCTTCGGGAATTCAAGCAATCGGATACCAAATTCCGAATGTATCCCATGGGAAGGAAGAGAGACCGTTTTCGACTCGGTTTTTTTCTTCTTCTCTTCTCTCTTTTTTTTTCTCTCTTGTGATTTCTGTTTCGATTCTATGTTGTTTTCGGGTTTAGAGAAGGAGAAGAGGAAAAAGCTAAAAGAAAGGAAATTAGAGAGAGATTGAATCTTTGGGGTGAGAAGAGAGAGGCAGATGGAGGCTCTCTATATTTGGTGATGACAATCTGTACCGACTATCTATCAAAATTCCGTTATTTCCCTGCCGTTATTTTATGTTCCCTCGCGCCCAATTTTGCTCCGTTAAAGATAACGGACATTCTTGACGTCGTTCGTCCATGAAACCAGCTATCCGGGGAATATATTTTTTTTTTATTAGTTTTGCAATTCTTCTTGTTTTTTTTTTTGTTAATGCAATTCTTTTTTATTTTAAGGAAGAACATTAAAGTTCTTTGTAATCTTAACCCTAATATATATCATATATATATAAGAGTTTTAGGGTTCTTAACCTACTCAGAAAAATACGTGAAAAATTGAAACCTTGGGATCATCAAGACCAAACCCTTTGTCCTTTCTCTCAAAAACAGCCTTCATGATGATGGTATAGAGCCTCTCCAGCTGTGGAACGCCGTAGTTTTCCATACGCTCTAACAAAAGCCCCTTGACAGATTCCACCAGGCTTGAATTTCCGCTTTCTGACATATCCACATCTTCTGCAGATGCTTCTTCTACTTCTCCTTCTCCTTCTCGGGTCTGACGCGTTTGACTCGGTAGGCAGTGACAATAGCTCGTGAGTTGGATTTGCTTGGTCCGACTCTTGGTGATGATGTGATTTGTCTGCTGATAAACAAGTCGTTAAAGTCCCGTCCGGCGGAAACAATCTAAAGATGGTAACTCTAAAGTTTGAGATTTCTGACAATGTCAATAAGTACAGAAGATGAAAAGGTATAAAGTTTTATACGAAGCCGTGATCCTAAAAAAATCACGTCAAGACAGAACAGAAACTAGAGTTGGGGGGGGGGGGGGGGGGGGAGATAACCTGAATGTGCAGTATCGGTGCTTTTCTTGGGCCGTTTCAGAGTTTCATAACTTTCATCCAGATTAACCTCGGGTTGCACATTTCATAGCCGGGCACTGGCCCTAGTGACGGTTCCCATCTGGACAATGGGAGCTAAAACAAGGATAGATCCTCTCAGATCATCAGGAGCTGCGATCTTGTCACAATACGTAACCAATGTTGGGTCCATCTGTGATAGCATCGCATGCACCTAAAACAGGAAGAGATTTTGATTCCAGGAAAAGCTCAAGGGCAATGCTAACGTCAAAATTTTGTGGAGATTTACTTATGAGATCAAAGAGACTTGCGCCTTTACCGCATCTCAGAGCTCATAAGCTCTGCTTACAATCCTCGATCCAGTGTAATCATCTCCATTGTAAACCTGGATATATAATAGAAAAAGAAAACATAATCAGCCACCACAGAATCGCTAGTTCACAAGTTGGAGGAATATCATTCCTATGATACTATGATCCATTCCTCAAGTGTTATTTTACAGGCATATCAACTAGACACGACAAGACAATTATCAAACGGTGGCAAGATGACATTGACATATAAGATTACAGAAAAAATGACGGGCAGAAAAGCACGTGAAATCTCTTGTGCCATGCATCATTCTGTTTTTGACGAGTTGTTGATGATGGCAAAGACCCAAAGACGCTAACAACCAACTCTAAAACACCATGAGAAGGATTAATTTCAATGTCAAAAATAAATTAGCTTCTAATATGTGAGGATGGAAGCTACAATATTCAGAGGAAATATCCTGACATTAAGTCTTCATCCTCTGCTCCGGAATTGCCAGTGTAATCTTCCAGATCTACAGAAGCTCTTCTCTTTCTTGTTGAATGGCGAAGGTTGGCTGCGATTGGCTGAATAACAGAATCAATGTAATCAACATGTATTCAGGTTAAAGATAATTAATATACATCTCAAAGCAATTCTACTAGAGCAAATTCAACAAAAAATAAACAAGATTCATGTTCTCTCTGGCATGTATTTGGTCATCTTCTCCAAAGTGAATAATTAACATAAAAAACAACTTCAGAGGAAATAACTAGGAACCTCAGTTATAAGCTGATATCTAGTTAACAATCATGAGGAAGAGCAATGCTTTCTATATTTACCTGGTTCTTGAAAGATGCTCAAAGCAATTAACCACTAGTAAAACAGGAAAACGAGAGGAAGGGCGCATGTTGTCAAAAAGTCCACACATCAATGACCAAGTGTTGGGATGCGCCACATACCATTCAAAGCCAGCTCTTTAACATACTCAAGCATTTCTGCCTCGAACCAGCCTTTTTTAAGATATCAATGCAGACCATATTCATCTGTTTTCGAAATAAAAATTGAAAGTTAAAGAGGACCCAAACAAACATGGCATCACAAGATCTGTTATCTCTTAGGGTAAACACTTCAACAGTTTGAAACGATAAAATATGCATGATGCATCCAGATAATTTTGTCAAGGGAAGTAAGGGGAGCCAAAATTGAGCATGGAAGGGATTATAATTCTAAAAGGAGGAATGGTCTTCCATCATGAAAGACAAAGAAGATGCAAGCATTGAACTTTTCTGAAAAACAAAACCTTTCCTTGTCATTTGTGATTATTTATATGGTAGAAGAACAGTAGGAAATATGTTGCAATCCTCTATTATCAGAAAAAAATCACAAATAAATATAACCGAAATAACACCCACAAGGATATATTATAAAGATCTTTCATGATACCATTTCCTTTAGAGCTTAATAAAAAGAAGCCTTGTCGAAACCAACAGCCAAAGATTTATCCTTCACGAACTGAACAGCCAGGTAAAATCAAAGCAAGACTCAGAAATTAAAATTGGCTTATAATCTATCCATTTATAATCCACATGGCAGTACAACGGAGGAGAAATCAACAGCTACCATAAAGTAACCAAAACTCAAGTTTCAGTTAATTTGAATGGTAAAACAGCGTAAGGATAAGAAAATAATGCTTACACTAGCCTTTGACGCCCGATGCGAGCGGTTCCCTTTATGCAGCATCTTGGCAATCTGTGAGGCTGATGTTCTTGTCTTTGTCTTTCTTTCCCT